CGCAGTTGTCACAGTGGTCACCATATTAGTGGATGAGAGATTTAAGAGCAATAGCAAGGTTTGTATTTTTAGCTAATAACCAAGCCAATATTTGGTTTAGGTTCGTAGAGGCAAAGAACCAACATACTCAAAGTGGAGACTGGTTGCTTTGTGTTATGGGTAGGGTTGGGTACCGAAACTCGGTGCCAATAGGGAACCGGTTCCGACGTAAACGGTAGTAACCAGACCGAATAAAAACGAAAATTTCGGTGCCTGATTTCGGTGCCTAACTTCATTAGGCACACACGCACACACACAAGGTCTCTCGCTCTCTCTCTCTCCACCGTGCGTGTGCTACACAGTTTGGAGCACAGTCTCTTCTGTCTCGCAAGCGCGCTCTTTCTCGCAAGGTTTGGCTGCATTTAACGTGTAAAATTACGTGTCAGAACGCCCTCTGGGTGTGCCGATAGTCTGAATCCCATATAGAATCAAGCCAATTCATTGGCTGATGGCGCGGGCGCCGCATCGACGCACTTACGTCGTCATACTATGTTGGCGCGCGCGCGCCATCTGCTCCTCAGATTTCTCTGCCGAAAAAGGAAGCTGGTCGGCAGCGCGAGGAGCTTGGCAGCGTCTCGTTCCCTATTGAGAGAACATAGGTTACACCAGTAACCAGAGATGTTCTCTTTCATAGGTTCACTCAACGCTGCGTAGCTAAGAAGCAGTGGATTTGTAGGCTGCTGTATCACGTGCCGTTTGAACTGACGCGCTACTGCGATCTGTCACATTTCAAAGAGCCAAAACGTTATTTATTGTGTGAATCTCGTAAAAATATTGACAGAATCTGACAGCTGTGGATTTGTTCCATATCAAAAGTAACCTTCTCTGTCTTGTCTGTCCGTGTCCTCTTTGTCCGCGATTTTTCTGTGTGAAAAGGGTCATTTGCGTGAGTCTCACGGTCAATGCGTGAGAGTTGGCAGCTCTGCCTGCTAGTAATCTCTATTAATCTCCAGTATTATTACATTGTTTGATACAATATTGTTTCATTTGATATTATGTAAATATGAATTTTTATTTTATATTGGTTTTATTATTACCAAAGGTTACTTGTATTTATATTGTTTAAAGATTTAAGTTAATATTGTGTCCAGTTTGGCCCTGTAAATTAAAGGGTATTATTTTTTTGATAAAGTGTGTGCGGTTTCATTTTCTTAAGTACCGATTTAAGAACCGTTTAAGCACCGGAACCGTTTAAAAAATACCGAGTAGGTACTGGAATCGGATAAAACCCAAACGATACCCAACCCTAGTTATGGGAATCTTTCCCTGTATGTTGTCTGTCAAAATCACAGAATAAACATCTTGGTTTTTGGTTTGCTCTTTACTGGCTTTGGTTTGTTGCTCAAGCAAAACTGTCATGTGTCTTTAGAAGACTTGGTATAGTGTACACTTTAAAGGGATAGTTCACCCAAAAATGACAATTAACCCATTATTTACTCACCCTGAAGCCATCCTAGGTGTATTCAGATGAATAAAAACTGTACTGGCTCTTCCAAGCTTTATAATGGCAGTAAATGCTTCGGTTTTGCCAGTATAAAGCTTGGAAGAGCCAGGACAGTTTTTATTCATCTGAATACACCTAGGATGGCTTCAGGGTGAGGCTAATTGTCATTTTTGGTGAACTTTCCCTTTAATGGAGTATTTTAATGGTACTTTTTTTCTTTTTATGGAGCTTCTCCCTGCTGTAATTTTGGGGCAAATAGTATGGAGGGATTATTGGGTCAGATTGAAAACTAAAAGTCTAAAACTAAAAGTCTTAAACGAAAACCAAAAGTCTAAGTTTGAAACTAAAAGTCTAAGTCGAAAACTAAAAGTCTAAGTCGAAAATGAATTTGGTATTTAGGATTGGGCATTTGGTAGGGGTGTAACGGTACATGTATTCGTATTGAACCGTTTCGGTTCGAGGCTTCCGGTTCGGTACGCATACAAACCGAACGATTCCTTGGACCATTTTTCCTGCCGACAAAATTCGCGCTGGCGCGATCACCACAACGTTGCGCAACAACATCAAATGGCAAGCGTAATGAAACCGGAACGAAACTGCGCTATTGTGCTTCACGGATCGTTTATCAGTTCGGAGCAGAGCAGCAACATCTGTGCAGCGGGAGCCGATCTCGATCAAGCGTTACAACACAGCGCTAAGAGATCCAGTAAAGAAAACATTTGAGTTCGCCACTGAAGTAATAACATCGCTGCGAGATCTAGTGAGAAGCATTCAAATTTCTCCGTTATTAACCTAGATCTCTATTAGATCAAACAGCGCTGACGTGGACACCAGGAGAAACATTGTGCCGTGAATGAACTAGCAGCTAGTAATACTTTACGTCCACAGACCAGCAACATTCACCATGGATTTAATATAGTAACACTAACTGTAACCAGTTTGGCTGGAATAGTGAAATGCTTTCAAGTACTTCACACATCTTTTTCCAGCACTTCAAAACTCAAATATTATATAAATAAATAGCCTATATGAAGAGTTCAGATGCAAAAGCCTCTAAGTGCCATTTGAAATTTTCTTCTAGAAATTAGAATGATCATTTTTATGAAGCTTGTACATTTAAGTTCAGTAATTTCACTCAAATGACAATTAATAGGCAATCTTCATTGCCATTTAAGTGAAATTACTGAACTTAAATATACAAGCTTGATAAAAATTATCATTCTAAGAAAATTTCAAATGGCTTTTGCATCTAAACTCTTCATATATTTAAATGTTATTTTTAATGTGATGACCAAAACATTATTTGTTCATCCTTCAAAGATGACCCCCATTTATAAACCTGAAAGTTTCAAGATGTAGGAAAACTCACTTATTTAAAAAATATTTTTTCTTTTAACAAATAGGAAATTTCTCTGGCATTTCGTACTTTTTGCTGTATCGAAAACGTACCGAACCGTGACTTTAAAACCGAGGTACGTACCGAACCGTGATTTTTGTGTACCGTTACACCCCTAGCATTTGGTATTTAGGATTGGGCATTTGGTATTTAGGATTGGGCATTTGGTATTTAGGATAGGGCATTTGGTATTTAGGATTGGGCATTTGGTCATTTAGCCATTTAGGATTGGGCATTTAGGGATTTAGGATTGGGCATTTAATCATTTAGCCATTTAGGATTGAGCATTTGAGGATTGAGGAGTGTATGCAAATAAGGAGGCGTGGCCCAAATACTGGAGGCTGGGTTTGAAATGGCTGGTGCGCAGATGCACCTTATGGACAGCAGAGGGCGCTCCAGTGCTAAGGAGCACACTGTAAACCAAACACAGCGAGTGAGCAGGTCTGGAGCGAGGACTGTACTTTATAATGTGATAACTTCAACTTAATGACAGCGTTGTATAGGGGTACTGGAACGGTACATGTATTCCTATTGAACCGAAACGGTAGCCTACGGGCGTCACGGTTCGGTGCACGAATTTACACGGAGAATACACGGTATAAAAATAAATAAAACTCTAAATAGCGATACATTTCGCTCTATTCGCGTCTGGTGTGAACGCAGCATAATAAACAGCGCAAAGTTCAAACTGCAAAGTGTGTATATTTGTGTACACTCGCAATAAAATACAACATTGTGCTTTTGTCACACTCTAAAATCTTGTCAAACTGTAACTTACAACTGTAACTTACAACTGTCACCTCACTCACTCACTCACTCACTCACTCACTCACTCACTCACTCACTCACTCACTCACTCACTCACACTCTCACTCTCTCTCTCTCTCTCTCTCTCTCTCTCTCTCTCTCTCTCTCTCTCTCTCTCTCTCTCTCTCTCTCTCTCTCTCTCTCTCTCTCTCTCTCTCTCTCTCTCTCTCTCTCTCTCTCACACACACACACACACACAGTTCATCGCGCCCGCGCCTCCCCCCCTCCCTTCTCTCTCACCCAACCAAAATCACACACACACACACTCTGAGAGTGAGAGAGAGGGGAGGGGGGGAGGTGCGGGCGCGATGAACTAGGTGTGTGTGTGTGTGTGATTTTGGTTGGGTGACAGTTGTAAGTTACAGTTTGACAAGATTTTAGAGTGTGACAAAAGCACAATGTTGTATTTTATTGCGAGTGTACACAAATATACACACTTTGCAGTTTGAACTTTGCGCTGTTTATTATGCTGCGTTCACACCAGACGCGAATAGAGCGAAATGTATCGCTATTTAGAGTTTTATTTATTTTTATACCGTGTATTCTCCGTGTAAATTCGTGCACCGAACCGTGACGCCCGTAGGCTACCGTTTCGGTTCAATAGGAATACATGTACCGTTCCAGTACCCCTATACAACGCTGTCATTAAGTTGAAGTTACCACATTATAAAGTAGCCTACAGTCCTCGCTCCAGACCTGCTCACTCGCTGTGTTTGGTTTACAGTGTGCTCCTTAGCACTGGAGCGCCCTCTGCTGTCCATAAGGTGCATCTGCGCACCAGCCATTTCAAACCCAGCCTCCAGTATTTGGGCCACGCCTCCTTATTTGCATACAATCCTCAAATGCCCAATCCTAAATCCCTAAATGCCCAATCCTAAATCCTAAATGGCTAAATGACCAAATGCCCAATCCTAAATACCAAATTCATTTTCGACTTAGACTTTTAGTTTTCGACTAAGACTTTTATTTTCAAACTTAGACTTTTGGTTTTCGTTTAAGACTTTTAGTTTTCAATCTGACCCAATAATCCCTCCATAATATAGGAGTCAGAGTATTCTTAAAATTATGTTAATTTATTACACAGAATACGGTCATGACGCATGAGGGTTCTTAAATGATGAACAATAAAATTTTCAAAAAATGTTTTGATTTTTGTAATTAGTTAATTGGTAAATGGTGAATTGTGAAAAGTTAATGGTGCGAGCGGAATAAAGACATGCTATAAGGAACTGGCGACACTGAACTAAATACTTGTTTATACTTGTGTATAATCTTAATGTGCAGTATCTCACTTATCAAGGGTTTGGAGCCAAAGGGGTTCTGAGTGCAGATCACTATAATTGCACTTATGCCCCTTGGGCTCCAAACCCTCAGTATGGTTTCTCTTGCAGAAATACGCTGTTATTAAGTTCCCCCAAGACAACACAGTTGATGTTGTGGCTTCCAACTGGCTTGAAGTTACAAAAGAGGTATTTATAAATAGTAGTAGGAATAGTTCAACTTAAAATAAAATTCTGTAATTTACTCACCCTCAGGTTGTTCCAAACCTGAATACATTTCCTTGTTCTGCTGAACACAAAGGAATATATTTTAAAGATTTTTGTAACCAAATGGATACTAGTGGCAGTATTGACTAACAACATAGTGTGATTTTTTTATTTTCTTTGGGAAATCAATAGTGCCCCATAAGTTTGTATGAACAACCTTTATTAAATCCATTTTTTGCAGCTAATGTCCATTTTGAAGGGTTAATATGAAGATCTGCTCTCAACAGGGTATATTTTGCTACTGGCCAAGAAATGGTTTTACTGCCAAAGCAAAAAAAAGAGCCACTCCAGATACTACCTTGTGGTCTAAACATGTTGCAGTGGTTCTGGTGTATGCAGGTATTTAGGATGTATTAGAAGTTTTCCAACATATATCACATACATGGTTTATACTGTTCTCTTACTGGTCAAACTAATGCTATGTTCTTTCCAGATAGCTATGAGGAAGCCAGACTGAAAGCCAACCAGGCCACAGTGACATCAAACCTGGAGAGCGATGAGGAACCTCCACGGAGACTAGTACGACCTCCAGCTAGATATTTGAGAAAGCTGGATAGTGGTAAATACTTTTCTGAAAATTTGACAGAGGAGAATTTAAAAAAAAATGTCATGGTTGCTTTTAGAGGTCGACCGAAATAGGTTTTTCTCTGGCCGATGCTGATGCCGATATGTAGAAATCAGGGCGTCCGATATGTTTGGCCAATTTTCTTTCACACCACCACCACCAAACAGCGGTTGTCATGTAAATTAACGGCCAGAACACATTAAAAGTTTTCTGTTTTCAGTTTCCTCTGTAGCCCCTTTTTGGTATGAGATGTTGTAACAATAACATATACTGTTAACTAGGTGATGATGATGAAGACCCACCACTACCAAAGATGTCACGTACTGTAAGCACACCTCAATGTGAGTTAATTATTTAAAACCTTTTTGTTACCCAATTACATAGCTGCTTTAAAGGTGCATAGCGCAAGTCTCTGAGTTTTTGCAGAACTATGCCCCCCTCTGGCGACAAGCGAAACTGCCTTACTGTCTTTGTCTTACGTGGAGTTTGCGTTGGGGTTTATAAACTACAAGCCGGTCTATTTGACTCGAGGTGTCTTCGCTGATACGAAGAATCGCAGCGAATACACAAACCTGCCAGACATAGCCAGGGGAGCGTGAACGCGCATGACGTCACGGCCAGTCTCATGTTCCGTCCCGAATCTCTCTTATTTATTTTACTGTACAGGATTATAGAGGCAATCGCAGTGATCAGAGAAGGGCTCATTCAGCCCATCAGGCAATTGCTTAAGCATGTATGGGTTAGAAAAACGGGTATTTTTAACATGAAATGTTGCGCAATGCACCTTTAAATTGTCAATTAAATATTTATTTAAAGTGTTTTTTTTGTTGTTTTTTTCAGTCACCCCAAGACGAGAACATTTTGCAGAAAGAAGAATGAGTAAGTATAAGTTCACTAATTCTTTCCTGTCGGCAATACATTCAGAGAAGACAGAGAATCCTTTGAAAATACAGCATTATGTTCTGTTACTTAATTGGCTTGTCAGTTAAGTAAATAAATACATATATTTCAAGCTGTGGCATAGGGTTGGGTAACGAAACCCGGTGCCAATATGGAACCGGGTAACCGGTATGTTACCGGACCAAATCAAAACGCAGATTTCGGTGCCACTTAAATGCCTCAGCTGTCGTCTGAAATATTTGCCCTCTGGTTCTTCAAAAAGGACAGTATTTGCAGTATATTCAATCGTTTTTGACCTAATTATTTTGCACTGAAATGACACACGAGTCTGTCGGCTCTGACAGCGTTGCATCACGTGCAACAATTTAGACAATTGTTTTTGTAATATGTTCTAATAATTGACAGACACTATCATTTCAGCCGCTCTGTGCAGCTCGCACAGAGCGAGGCTGAACACAGTAGCTCAGCTTCACGGCTGAGACACGAATAGACTATTAACTTAAAGCTTTTACTCTTAAACACAAAAGGCACGTCCACTTTAATAAAAAAAAAAGAGTATTTATTAAACAAACCAGATCAAGACGAGAGCAGAAACTAAATAAAGTGCATAAATGAAAAATAAAGCATAGGGTCAAAACATATACTCATGTCCTGAGCAATAAAGTCGACAATTCCTTCCGTGATATTATTTTTATGTTTGGGATGATAGAGGAGGGAGGAGAAGCACCGAGTTGCGTCTAGGACAACACGAGGTATCTCACACCAGATGCGCACTTTCTCAGTTTATGGGCAGCAATTTTGTTATGTTGAAGGACATTATGAAATTAAGATAATGTCTGCACTATGTTCTGATTGTACTTGACAATTAAATATAATCGTTGTCTGCAGTCAAAACTAGGGATGTCCCGATCCGATACTCAGGATCGGTATCGGCTCCGATACTGCCATTTTTGCGGGATCGGGTATCGATTAGACATCGATCAGATGAGGCCGATCCAAATCCGATATTGTGGGTATAGGCCTACTATTATGTGTTATTGTTAAGCCCCACAAAAGGCACAAAAACATTCTAAAGTACCATAACGTTTTCGTGCACTCTATTATAAGTGTTCTGAAGCCATTATGTGAGAGAGAAATTAATATTTAAGTCATTAAATTCAAGATCACGTAAACTTTTCCCTCTCGCGGCTGTCAGTCATTCTCCATTCAGCATTCAAACAGCGCGTCGCGTTCGGTTACAGTCAATGATGAAACTATCTTCAAGATGATTCAATGTTAATACTATTATACTTGATCTGTAAGATAAAGGTCTATGTTTTCGCATAAAACAACTTTATCTTGCTGGACTTTATTGCTGTAACTCAATCGTGTTACTCTCTACCGGGTGTCGGACGCTGTCAGTTTGATCACAACACTAGTCAGAGCACTATAATTGTTCTTCACGCGCACAGTAACTGAAATTTAAAACTGTTAAAAGAAAAGGCTCAATAAACGATTGCATAGATAGATACTGTATAATACACTGTCCATCAATATGTATCTCCGTTGTGCTTTGAACTTTTCAAAGCGGACTCGACGCGCTGCGTGCTGTAACTCCACGTGGCTTCAAGCGCATCATTCTCCTCTTGGGATGCGAATAAGCGCTTTGTGCCGCACTGTATTGGAGCCTTTCATATCATAATGCAGTGACGCAATTAAAGCTTATTAACATTAATAATTATTAATGTTGCTGCCTCATTAAATAGCTGTGCAATACACTTAAAACATGTCTCAATTTTATAGCAGATTTAGCTATATCTAAAATAATTATCTTTTTCATTTTTGTTATCTTGTTTTTCATGAATGTATTTTACAACAATAAAAAGAGCCATGTGTATTATCCACTAATCTAGTTTATAATAGCATTTTTGTCATAGATTATGATCATATATTTTGGGGATTTGTTGTTTATCTTTATAATGAAGCTGTCTGTATTAAGTAGATTGTGTTTAACACACACAAGAGTGATAATCAGTTTAACACACAGTTATAGAAATTCTACTTGATTTAAAAAACAAAAAATGTACTGGTATTTACAATGTAGAATGCTGCTGTTTAAATTGTTTTAACTTTAAACCTGTTGGTAGCTAGCTAGCTTTAAGTACTGAAGTACCTGTATTTTCTTTCATTTATATATTTCTTTATTTTTTTGTAGTGTTTGAATAAAGGGTGGCAACCTTTCATAATCAACTGTTGTTGTGGACTAGGAGGTATATTTTAGGTGGCTAATTGAGAAAATTGCTATATTTTTTATTAGTTTAAGAATAAAATAAAAATATCGGATTAATATCGGTATCGGCAAAAGCCAAAGCTGCGGCATCGGTATCGGTATCGGAAGTGAAAAAGTGGTATCGGGACATCCCTAGTCAAAACACTTTACCTCAGATCGTCCGTTAACTGAATGAATTGAGAATCTCACCTATATAAATCCGATAACATCAGCAATTTTCATTCAATCAGCTAATTTCTGTGAATGAATGTAAAACTAAATGTATATTGCAGCACATGATGAAGTCAGGATATACATTAACGACGATTTGAGACAAGTATAAAGTCAATTTAATATAAAACTATGTAAATGGTGCTCTGTGGCGCGGCAGGATTTTGAACACGGTCCTGACCCGTTGATGGGCACCGCCGATGTGTGTACACACTCATAGAGAATAATGTGTTTGAATTTTAAAGACATGACACTGCGCTTCTCGGGGTGTTCTGAAGACAGAATGTTACTTGTGAAACAGGGGTGCTCTGAAAACACCCCCATTAGAAATTAGTGCTTTCCACCTGATGAAATTAACACGGCAAAAAATCGACCAATCAGAATTTTGGTCGACCAAGAACATATCGACCAATAAATCGACTAGTCGACTGGGAGATTACAGCCCTAGTTATTAGGGCCAGAGCACAGATGGTATGAGGACCCTATTTGAATTGCTTCATTTATTAGTACTGTTACTGTTATTTAGGTATAAATGATTGTAGTTGGTTTGGGTTAATTTGTTTTATTGTGAATTTGTTATGCTTGTATTTAGCCTACTTATATTTATACAAGTGTACTTTACAATTTTAATATATGGTTCAATTTTAAGAATTTTTTATTTAATTTATATCAATAAAAAAGCCGTGTTAAAAAAAGAGAGCCTCAAAACGATGGTGAATGAGATTAAAGTATCGGTTTAGGCACCAGTACCGTTAAAAAAAAACAAAAAACGATACCCAACCCTAATGTGTCACCACTCAACAAAATAAGTTCTACTATTACACCACCATTTATAGAAAAAAATAAAAAAAGCATCCCTGAATAATTTCCTGGAATCATGTTTTTGGAATCTTGTATTTCAGGTCATCAAAGTGCCAAAGATCCAGAAACACCCATGTCTGACAGGGAAACTCAACATGAAGGTGGAATAAGACATTTAAAGGATTATAAAAGTTTTCTGTTTTCAGTTTCCTCTGTAGCCCCTTTTTGGTATGAGATGTTGTAACAATAACATATACTGTTAACTAGGTGATGATGATGAAGACCCACCACTACCAAAGATGCCACGTACTTTAAGCACACCTCAATGTGAGTTAATTGTTTAAAAACTTTTTGTTACCCAATTACATAGCTGCTTTAAATTGTCAATTAAATATTTATTTAAAGGTTTTTATTTTTATTTTGTTTCAGTCACCCCAAGACCAGAACATTTTGCAGAAAGAAGAATGAGAAAGTGTAAGTTCACTAATTCTTTCCTGTCGGCAATACATTCAGAGAAGACAGAGAATCCTTTGAAAATACAGCATTGTGTTCTGTTACTTAATTGGCTTGTCAGTAAATGAATACATATATTTCGAGCTGTGTCACCACTAGGGGTGTGCAAAGCAGCCGGTATTTGCATCTGTATTTGTATTTGTTGAGGGGGGAAAAGTATTTGTATTTATGTTAGAGTAAAATTCAAAATAGGCCTAAAAATCTAGTTTGGAGTTGACTGGATTGTTGACGGGGGGGGGGGGGGGGGGGGGGGGAGACACACACACACACACGCAAGGTCTCTCCCTCTCTGCCGTGCGCGCGCTACACGGTTTGGATCACAGTATGTTCTGTCTCGCATCCGCGTTAGATTCCGAGAGATTTGAACTAATTTGCGGGAAACAGGGAGCCGCTATCAATAGAGACTTGGGATGTCTACGTACCATATAACTCCCACAAGTGCATACAATTCGACACAACTACACAAGCATTTTTTAACCGAACGTTAACGTTACTCTGTCAACAGCCTATTGTCTAAATTACCGAGCTAACAGAGCTACGTAAACAGAGCGAACATGAGAGCATCCGACTGCAGACGTCAATAATGCAGCGTAATGGAATAATCTCCCGATCAAACTCCGCTTCCCGAAAGTTATAAACTGCCTCCGGAACCCAGTTAAGGTACAAAAATCTATTCAACAAAAATAGTGATGCAGTTAAGTGTTTTTTCGCTCAGCCGAGCCCTCTCTGTTGCTGTGTCTGTGGAGCAGCCTGTGTCAGTCACCTCTTCCTGAACTTCACTCACTCACTCTAACTCACTCATCCGGGCATGCACTGCGGTCTCGTGAGGATACGCAGCTTTTTGATATAAAGTTTTTCTTGTTCCCGAATACAAAGATTTTTTTAAGTATTTGTTCGAAATAACTATTCGTAAAAAAACATGTTATTTGTACCTTTCCGAATACCGTATTCGGGTTCGGCTCCACCCCTAGTCACCACTCAACAAAATGAGTGCTACTATTACACCACCATTTATAAAATAATACATATAAAATGCATCCCTTAATTATTTCCAGGAATCATGTTTTTGGAATCTTGTTTTTCAGGTCTTCTAAGTGCCCAAGATCCAGAAACACCCATGTCTGACAGGGAAACTCAACATGAAGGTGGAATAAGACATTTTAATCATAATACTATTTTCACGTGTAGTAATGTGACACTGTTTGTTACTATTTGATTACTATATTTATTAATCTGTGATGTATTATGATTTTGTAAATGTATAACATATTCATTCTACTTTTTATTGTATTTCTCATTTTCAGCTGAAGTGGCCATAGATGTTCCTGCATCAGGCGGGGAAAACAATTTGTGTGAGTACAAATTTTGTTTTTTTCTTTCATTCAAAAGTTTGGTGCCAGTAAGATTGTTTTTGAAAGAAGTCTCTTCTGCTCACAAATGTTGCATTTATTTGATCAAAAATACAGTGATATTGTGAAATAATATTACAACTTAATAAAAGTCTTTTCAATTTTAACATCTTTCAAATTGAATTTGTTCCTGTGATCAAAGCAGAACTTACAGTGTCATTACTCCACACTTCATTCTTTAGAAATCGTTCTAATATAATAATGTTTTTGTCTTATCCTGAAAAACTACGGTACACCTGTAATAAGTGTTTATATGGGGACTACTTTAGACTGGTTGGGTCGCACAGCTGTGGAGTAGCCCAGTACCTGCCTGACTCGCTATAGACATAAACACAGACAAGGAGCTCTGGCTACAATTTCCTTTTGCAAGACACATTATTCTGTGTCAAAAATTATGGACTGCAGCTTTAAATATAGAAATTATTTTACATCAGTTGAATGTAGATAGTTATTGCACCCTGCATTCTTTTTGCATGTTAACATGTGAACTGTACATTTCAGACAACACAGAGTTGAAGAAATTTGAAAGGGCCATTTTTATTCGACTGGACAAAATGGACCAAAAGCTGTCAGCGATCGAAAGTCTTTTAAGAAGTGGTGACCAGCAAACAGGAGACTTTTCTGAGTTCCTGCTCAATCCTTGCCGTACTACTCAGGAACTGAATGATTTATGCTCTAAAATGCAAGATGGTGAATACAGGAAAAAAACTGTAAGTACATTTAACCGCAGATTATAATTGTGGGGTTTTTATCACTTGAAATGTGCTTTGACATCTATAATGTAATTTATTTATAATTTAAAAACTTTTGCAAAGTGCACATAAATATGCACACGAACACAACATATCAGTTTGCATTCCAAACTTGATATGATAGCCTATTCATCATCAATCTAAAGTCAACCAAACCTAAAAAAGAAAAGAAACATGGCTCAATTTAAAGTTGTACAATACATTTTTGCGCATATGAAGGGCACGAGTTAATTTGAAGCCCCATTTACATAAATAATAGTTTTAAAACTAAATGTTGCAGCACACAATTTTATAGTTTAGAAACTAAATGTTGCAACACAAAGTTAAAAACATTTGGATCCATGCTGAAGGAGATAGGTTTCCGGTTTCAGTTTTGCTTTTAATAAATATATTTACATTTGCCTTTTATAATAAATGTTGTTTATAAAAGAATGCCACAATTTGCTTATTTTGTCTTGTCCTGTTCTGAATACCAATAAGAGGAATTAAAATACATATTTTTAAATATTTTTTTTATGTTCTGGTATTTTGCATTATTTCTGACTATTATATATTATAAATAATACAAATTAGTATGATATAATTAAATTATAAAATATTCTATAATTGAATTATAAAAGGCAACTTATATACCATGGTGACCTTCTGTTTTCTCTTCACCATGCAATTTTCACCTGGTGCATCTGGTTTTCCAGGAAAATGTACTTTTCTTACATAGGCTTACTTTTCAGCAATTGAAATGCTACGTTCACAGTTATACATGGATTAGGAATGGAAGTATATATCTGTCCCAAACTAATTATTGCTTTTTTTATTACAGGTCCATCACCTTAGCCTTCTTGGAGGCAAAACAGCTGGAGACGCCGTCCGGAGGGCCTTAAGAGCAATTGCACTCAACTGTGTTTGGAGCCAGTACAGTTTGAAGGGAAGGAAGGGGAAAATCAGTTTCCAAGACCTTAATATTTGCAGTGTGATCATTCGTAAGTATTACATTTTGTAAGACTCACTGCATTTACACCTGGTATTAAAAAGAGTTTTCAGTGATCTGATCGGCTAAGACACAATACCATTATTAACATTAATGTCACATAAGGTTAGCCTGACTTCGTCATACTCATATTCTAGAAAGAACATGAGTCTGAAACTGATCCATTGGGCTGTGATTATGGGCCGTGTTTCAACTGAACCAGGAAAAAAAATGCCTCTGCATTCAATTGGATAGACCTACAACCAATCAGAGCAACGGAGTAAATGACGCATGTTCTTCATTCATCTTTCCGACCGACAAATGCCTTGATCGCGGTTCTCTGTTCCTCTTTTAAAAGAAATGCGCTGTCGATATCTTCTATAACAGACGTGATGGCGGAATCTACACATGATGTTTCATAAACAAAGTTCGGGAGCAGCACGTTCAAATAATCATTCCAATCAACTTGTCATCAAACAATACCAAGTCTAACGTTACCCTATCAGCACGAGAGGAAGCATATTCACTCTGTCAACTCACCTAACACTCCTCGACAGTTTTCAGCATCTCTCCACCACCCCGACTCCTCACTCTCGGCTTGTTCTTCCACAGCCAGGAATACGGGCGAGTAACGTTAGCCTACTCTGGGTTCGGGCCGAATGCCGATCACGGAGCCCTCTCCTCGGAAAGCACGTAATATACGCATTTATTCTATCTGACTCATTTGTAAGTGAACTCGTGAAATCTCAATTCTCCAGCGGCAGTTATCTGTTGTAAACGAATTCAACCCAAGCGCTCTTCGATGACGTGATGATTACGTACATGCACCTCATCTGTCAATCATCGTATAAAGCCCGCCCTGGCAATTTGATTGGTCCGACCTTTTTTTGGCTGATCATAATTACTCCTCAATGGATCGAGTCCAGACCGAACTTCCCGACCAAAAAATGTTCTGGGCGGGATTCGGGCTGGCATCCAGGCTAACATAAGGTAGGAGTGAGTTCGAAAGCAAATGAAAAGGATAAGTTGGGCAGCTACCATTTTCACTTGAATCCGTGTGTTTTGGTACAACACAAAACTGTTTAATGCACAGGTAGTTCCAAGTCAGTTGAATCACGGTTTTATATTAATGTGCTCTTTAAATTTAAAGGTGCTAGGGATGTATAATATATCGTGTGGCATGCAACAATATAATAAAAAAGCTTTGCTACTGATTCGCTACATTATATTTCTCAGCAACGAGGGGGTTACATCAATATTTTTAATTAAACGCATAGCTTCATCGTTAATAGAGAGAGACACTAAAAAGACACTGGTACAAATCTCTCTTTCTCTTATGAGAATATAAATAAATGCTAATAATTCATTCAAATAAATGTAATCTTATGCACTACTTTATCTCTGTGTCTGATTAAAGGCGGACAGAACATGCTAAACCTAACGAGTCATAACTTGACAAAAATAACCATGATTTTTAGTCTCCAAGTCAAATATTGTGCTGCAAACATCAATAACAACTTTAAATGGTAAATGCTGGCAAATGACCCTAATATAAGTGGGATGATTCACAGCTAGCTTTTCATTACACAATTTGAATGCACGACGCTAAGGCAAAGAACCACCCGATGCAAATCAGAGGTATTCAGCAATATTAGCAAGGATTATGTGACGATACAGCTTAGGGGTGCAACGGTACCCAGTTTGCACTTGTCTAAAGTAATTGGTTACATTTACAAAATAAGCCTACAATAACAGAAGTAAGCCCTGCTGATGAAATTAAGGTTTAAACACTCAGGCTTCAGTTGTTTAACTAGTTTACATGCAGTGAACGTAGGCTACAATAAACCTACTGCATTTATTACTCTTTTATGAATCAGCAATTAATAAACTACTAATAAACGGCAAACTACTTCTTCACTGCTGATGGTTTAGAGGAGAATTACTCCGAGTCGCCCCCTGTCGTTTCACAGAATAGCACAACGGCGAGCGCGTCAAGTATAAACGCCTCGTCCGCTTGGAGAGGTGCGCGCGCAGTCAGCGGAGACTCGCGCTCGTGCAGACGCGTCAAGTATAAACGCCTCGTCCGTTTGAAGAGGTGCGCGCGCAGTCAGCGGAGACTCGGGCTCGTGCGGACGCGTCGAGTATAAACAAGGCTTAAAGCAAAAACTAAAAGGATCAGCGCGAACTCAATGGCAAAACCGAAGTCCCGCGGGACACGAGGGTAGATTGTCCCGTGCAGGGCTGACCGAACGGTCCGGTATTTTACCGTGTACCGTTGCATCCCTAATACAGCTTTATAGTGATATTTTGAACACAGCCCTAACATGCAATGTGCTCACATGCATTTCTGACTACTTTATTTTGGTTTCAGTGATCTGATTGCAAAAATGGGACTTATGTTTGTTAAAGATGTCATGACATTAATTATATTTTTTTAGGTCCATGTTTTCCTAACATTTTTACTGAAGTTCCACTAAACCATGATGTAAACTTATTTTTAGAGGCTTGCCAAAAGATGTACCCGAAGGTGCCCATCAAGGTATTAGAGGAATATATTTCAGACACCTTGAAGTACGCTCCTCATCGGGAATCAAGGGTGAGTAACATTCCTGCATGTTTTCTTTTCATTTTCTGGTGTAATCCTTTACAATGTGTAATGAACCTTTCCATTGTAATTCCATTACATTTGTAAGCTATATTTGAATCTTGTGTGATTTAATATGTATAGTAAGGCAAGGCAAGGCAAGTTTATTTATGTAGCACATTTCATACACAATGGTAATTCAAATTGCTTTACATAGAAGAAATTAAAATAATCAAAAGAAATCAGGATAATTAAAACAAGTAGTACACAAAGTACAACCTAAATAACTTAAGGGTTAACCTTTATGGAGTAGCCACATTGTTGTTATTATTATTAAATGTTTATGAAATGATAAATCACCATTAGTAACATTAGTCAATCTGTTCACTTTACAGACGGAGCATGAAGATACTGAATCACAGACTGGACCTCAGTGCTAGTTTAGAACCAGAACAGCTGTTTCCTGTTCATTAAAATGTTATAAATTTTTTTTTTTTTAAGCTCTAATGTAGCATTTCACATCAGAAAATGATAATAAATGATAATAATTTTCAACGTTTTGATGTTCTGTAAAAGTGTGCAGTTATATAAAAAGTGGGCACATGTAATTCACGTGGCTGTTTAAAAAAATAAAGTTGAAAGAATGATGTAGAAACATTATTCTTAATTTGAATGTTGTATTGTTAATACAATTTTTGGGGCAAGAATGTTCCATGAACATTATACTAACCTTAATATAACGTTCCAGCAACGGTATGCTAACCTTAGGAGAACATTCCAGCAATGTTATGCTAACCTTAAGATAACTTTCCAGCAACATTATGCTTACCTTAATATAATGTTATGTTAACCTTTAGATAACGTTCAAACAACATTATGCTAACCTTTAGATAAGGTTCCAATAACGTAATGCTAACCTTAAGATAATGTCCCAGCAACGTTATGCTAACGTTCCAGCAACATTATGCTAACCTTAAGATAACGTTCCAGCAACGTTTTGGTAACATTACGATACCATTCCAGCAACGTTAAGCAAACTGGATATTTCAACGTTTTTAGAACATTTCAAATCAACGTTCCCACAACGTTATGCTAATGTTCCAGCAATGTTATGCTAACGTTCCAGCAATGTTATGCTAACGTTCCGGCAACATTATGCTAACGTTCCGCCAACGTTATGCTAACCTTAAGATAACGTTCCAGCAACATTATGCTAACCTTAAGATAACGTTCCAGTAACATTATTCTAACGTTCCAGCAACGTTTTGCTAACATTAAGATACCGTTCCAGCAACGTTAAGCAAACTGGACATTTCAACGTTTTTAGAACATTTCAAATCAACGTTCCCACAACGTTATGCTAATGTTCCAGCAATGTTATGCTAACGTTCCAGCAATGTTATGCTAACGTTCCACCAACGTTATGCTAACCTTAAGATAACATTCCAGCAACATTATACTAACGTTCCGCCAACGTTATGCTAACCTTAAGATAACGTTCCAGCAACATTATGCTAACCTTAAGATAACGTTCCAGTAACATTATTCTAACGTTCCAGCAACGTTTTGCTAACATTAAGATACCGTTCCAGCAACGTTAAGCAAACTGGACATTTCAACGTTTTTAGAACATTTCAAATCAACGTTCCCACAACGTTATGCTAATGTTCCAGCAATGTTATGCTAACGTTCCAGCAATGTTATGCTAACGTTCCACCAACGTTATGCTAACCTTAAGATAACATTCCAGCAACATTATACTAACGTTCCGGCAACATTATGCTAACCTTAAGATAACGTTCCAGCAACATTATGCTAACCTTAAGATAACGTTCCAGTAACATTATGCTAACGTTCCAACAACGTTTTGCTAACATTAAGATACCGTTCCAGCAACGTTAAGCAAACTGGACATTTCAACGTTTTTAGAACATTTTAAACCAACGTTCCCACAACGTTCTTAGAACATAATTTTGTTAGCTGGGATGCAAACTGTTGCTTGCAAACTTTGCATTCGACTTTTTTTCTGTTATCTATTTTCGTAAAATGCTGCCACACTGTCGATGTCTTTGACATGGTAAAGGAGGACTGACAGTAAATTAAACGCTCGCAATTAAATTAATATTCAGCAAACCTCCAATGCCTTCTAGTACTTTCTTCAATCTGTCTCCAGTGGGTTGGGCTAATCCAAAAAAGTGAAAACAAGGGGGGTGTTCTGAAGACAGGCTGTTACCTGTGAAACAGGGGTGCTCTGAAATTAACTAATCGACTGGGAGATTAATCGACTAATCGACTGGGAGATTACAGCCCTATGAAAAAAACCCTTAATTTGTTGGGGGGAGAAGAAAAAAAAAACAGCAGGATTGCGAGGCCCCCTAGTGGCGCGAGACCCTGTGCGGTTGCACAGTTCGCACAGCCCTTGCGATGGCTCTGACCAGTGGTCACCGCGAGATGCATGCCGGTTAGAAATGTGTCCGAGTGCGGTACTTGCTCTGATGTCATGCCGATGTATGTCAAACATCTCTCGCGAGCGCAAGGCGCACGTGTCGGATTCTGCAGTCGCGAGCAGTTACTCTCCACCGACTGCGCTGATCAAAAGCATGATGGGAAACGACTTGCTGACGACACAGCTTAATGCTCATTGGTTTAAACAACCGTGATGTATTGTTCCAACGCGTTCTCATCCCAAGGCGTCATATACGACGCTTTTGCCAAAGCGTACATATCCTACAAACATGGCACCCTTTAGCGTCAATATAACACGCACATAGTATGGGTAGGTTTAGGTCTGGGGTAGGGTTAGGGTTAGACCACTAGGAGGCGCCTTCTGCCCCATATATATCTGCGTCTCATATTTACGCTAAAGGGTGCCATGTGCGTAGGATATGTACGCTTTGGCAAAAGCATCCTATATGACGCCTTGGGATGAGGACGGGCTCATTGTTCTCTTTCAAAACGTTTGATTTTAAAACTCTGATATCATGTTTTATGTGTATACGTATGTTATGTGTGAAAACTCTCTGACAGTGCGATATGGGTTATGTGATGTCATTTTTATTAAAAAAATAAAAATAAAAACACATAAAATATTGATAAACACGTATTTGGAATGTAATTGAATAACAAGTACTTTGGGTGTCTTGTTCATTTATTTTCATATAAAAGCAACAGAACTTAAATTACATCCAGTTTATTAGCAACACCGTGCACGAGCGTGAATCCCGTGAATTCCGCGATATCCATCTTTGATCTCACAGGTGTCAGATCCACTGCGAGAAGAGAGATCTGGATCTGTCCGTCTTGCCTGCACTTTTTTCACTCCTCCCCTCACTGCAGCCGCCTACTCTCACATACATTTCAGGCGAGGCAAGGCGCATCTCAATCAAGCCAATTAATTCCCAGTTCGACTTGCTTGTAAAGGCACACCTCTTGCTTTTCGTTTGGTCACACCACAAGGTGTCACTGTGGCCTCAAAGATTCAGCACTGCCACTCTTAGCTCGCTTGCTATGTCTGAGGTTATAAACACCCACCTCCCCCTCGTTACCATATGGACAAATAAATGTATAAATAAATAAATATGGAAATAAATAAATGTATAAATAAATAAATGTAGACATAAATACACATATAGCCTACATGAATAAATGTGGAAATAAATAAATAAATAAATGAAAAAATAAATAAATGTGGAAAAAATACAATTATACATAAATGAGGAAATAAAAGTATAAATACTCATTTTTGACATTTCTTAGTATTTTTATTTATGTATTTTTTTAATATACAGTATTTTTGTTATGTTTTCAAATGTCTTAGTGTATTTTATGTATTTATTTATTTATTATTTTGGCAGCTTTTGAATTTAATACCATAGTCACAGTCTGTCACATCACAGTCTGTGAAAACTAAAAGAGTCAATTTGTGAATAAATTCGCTACCATCTATGTTCGCTACGGCCGGATTTGTGAGCAGGTTCAATCGATTCGTGGAAAAGATCCGATTCAAATAAACGATTCTTTTATGAATCGGACATCTACTACACGCGTTCGTGAGGCGTGGTTTAGAAATAGGAACGCGTCCATTACAGCGCGTTTAGTTGGCGGTGACAGCGCACGGTGGCATATCAAACATCCTCTTCCGTGTATTTTTTGGTCTACTATATAGATCGATCAGTGTTTTTGGCCAATTGCTTTAGAACCATTCAAGGAAACCAAAAGCAAGCTGACCATCATGAACCCGTTGTGTAGCAGATGTGACAAGATTGTGTACCCTACAGAAAAAGTAAATTGTTTGGACAAGGTGAGTGATGCTTATGTTGTCTTAATACAATAAAACTATCAGCTATACGTTTACATAAGGTTAAATTCTGTAATCACACTGTATTATTGGTCGATATCGAGCGAGTCAGATTGATTTCCACTTGCACAATTCAAGTTGTAAACAGTGAATTCCTCCTCCCGTTTTGTATGAAACATACACGGTGCATTCTATTGAATAATGTTTATCAAATCGTGCGCGCAAATCATAGACATCAGTTTAAACATGTTTTGCCTAATTTATCACTCGAGTTGGCTTCACTTTTCAACTTCCTGTATCAACATTCCTATAACGAAACAAACTATTCAGTAGGTAATGCAACATGCTCGGGATTTTTCCAATAGTGTTGGAATAAAACAATTATTTGTAACGAACGTGTGTTTTATTACATGATCTTGATTGATTTCTATTATTTATCTTAACTGTTTAAGAAAATACGTAGGCGTAGCTTTGTTAGCGGTTTACATTCGATGTCTTTTAAAGGCCTGTTGGGGTTAATTGTCCATAAATCAATTAAAGAGAATATCAGATTGTCAAATACGGTACATAGACATTTTTTTATAAGGGTGTAATAGGACTGATGACTGTCTTGTCAGTTTTGGCTTGTTATGACCCCCTGGCACAATTCTGTTATAGGCCTAAACTGCAGTGCACATTTGTTTCAGTTTCATTCTTACTATATTAAGTGGACATTGCTATTGTGGTTGGTTTTACTGTGTCAGCTTAGGCTATATCTATTTTTAATACTCTGGTTGATGACACCACATCCTTTCCGGATGTCACCTGCAGGCCTTGACATGTTTGGTGAATGCGATGCAGTTAAACTAAAGGTTGGTGGTTATTTTGAGGGGTTTTGTTATTGCGGAAAGCAACATATTGTTAGGACACATGTAGCTGACTTTGTGTGTGGTAGATAGATATAATGTTTTTTTTTTTCTGTGAAAGGGTATCATTAAAAGGCATTAAATTGATCAAAAGTGACAGTAAATAATTTACTTTTTTCTTTTTTTTTTCTTTTTTTTTTTAGGTGCACCGATATGCAATTAGAAAATAAATTGCCTAATGATGAGCAAAGTTGAAGTAAAATGATGCATGACTTTCTGGCTGTAGATGAGGAGTGTGGTCTAAGTGACTGCATTGCCAACAATATCATATTAGTGGGAATCCAAATGTTTCTGAGGTGCTTTATCGAGCATTGCAAATGTGAAAGTCTTGTGTTTATGTATGACCACTTCCTCTGCAGTGTCCTGGATTCTGGTAAATACTGCAGAGTACTTGCTCGTCTATTAACCTTTGTGCTGGTGTACAGCTTTCGATGTGCTTTTATTTCAGTGATGACATTGAGAATTGGATGCGCTTTTGCGTCCTATGTTTGTCATTGAATAAAAACAACAGATGTGGAAGAACTTTGCCAAATGATAGACTAGTATTAATGCCACTGATGTAGAAATTATAGGTCTTGGAAAGTCTTATAGAATTCAATGAAACCAGTAGGATCAGTCTGAATGTTTGCCCATTACATTGTTAGGTAAATACGATGTCAGAGTTTATAACAGTGAGATGAGCTATTCAGGTATTGTTGAATACAGAGGCCATGGCTTGAATATTTTCTTGAGAGTCTTTATTTGCCACACAACTGGGCTTGGTGGAATTTGTTAAAGACCCACTCCGATGAAAATAATGTTTTTCTAGGTGTTAACATGTTCTTGTGGCATTTTTCTGATGTTAGAGGACATATCTTGAGAAAAATAAGCTCAAAGTTGTATTTCTGAGTATTTCTACATTCAAATGGCTGTGAATCAGTAGCAGACGCTAAAATGCCGGCTAAAATAGACTGGAGTTGTGACGTAGTAACTCCACTGGGCGTCTCCACATGCGACGTCTTGGAGTGAAATAATGATCGGTGATAACTTTGATTAACTTCGGATAATAATAATTAACGTGTATATAATACTGTTGCCCCACCGGTATTGGGGGTGTAAGCTAGCGGGAGAGACAGAGCTCTCAGCAACGGGCAGGGGGAGGGTCGTCTCCGTGCCAACGGCTCCGCCCACAACGCAGAGGCGAATTGCTAATGAGCTACTGCCGCTCTGCTGAAGCGAAGTCCCAGAAAACGGCACAGGTTTTGTGATTTTGGCTAAAAATGGCATAATCATAATTTAAAGACCACTGGGAATGTTTAAAAATAGCTCAAAATATGATCGGAGTGGGACTTTAAGCAACAATGCATAACATCACCATCTTAAGATACAGGGAAGTCCCCCTGTAGCAACTTGGGGTTAAATGTTAAATGTTCACTCAAAATCACAATGGTGATAGCTTGTTTTGAACAAAGCATTTTGGTTACCGGATCATTAACCACAAGGCTACACAATTACAATCTAGAGATAAGCATCTCTTTTAAACTGGTGAATTCTCTATAAGAGTCCACAAGCCTATAAGTATGTTTCCTGCATTGATTCCATCCTTCTCAGCATTCTAGCTATAGGCTACTCAATAAATTTGCCTTTTCTCTGCTGTTCTTTCTTGTACAGTATTGGCACAAAGGATGTTTCAGCTGTGAGGTCTGCAAAATGACTCTGAATATGAAGAACTACAAGGGCTTTGACAAGAAACCCTACTGCAGCCAGTAAGTTAAAAAAAATTCAGTCCTGGGTCCATGACTTTATTCAGAAATACATGAATTTATTCAGCAATGCATTAAAATGCAATTCATACTAGAGGTCAACCGATTGATCGGTTTTATATATTAATCGGCACTAGGGCTGTAACGATACACCAAACCCACGATTCGATTCGTATCACGATTTTTGACCCACGATTCGATTCGTATCGCGATTCTATCACGGGGGCGGGGCTTGAGGGGGCGGGGCTTGTGGTGAAAAAAAGAGATTTTGAGAGAACAAAAAAAATACCGGTATTTTTATTAAATAACATTAGGAAAAACCTGTATAATCTAAACACCAAAGAACAATAATAACTGCAAATTATTATACTATACGGCAGTGTAGGCTGCTGCTTTTGGGCTGTGTTCTGTACTCCAACTAAATTGATTTCGGGATGGTGCCGTAATATGCATCTGCATGTTGGACGTGTTGCCGGTCAATTGAGGATTAATTTAATGCAGATATTACATTTATCTTGCCTAAATGTTTGCGCTCATTGCATTTTTACAATGGGGTAATAGCCTATTGTTGTTAAGAATTTACACATCACAAGGAAGCTTGATTTAAATTGTTTAATTAAATTAAAAAAAGTAGCACAAATAAATACAATAGAATAAAGATACAAATAAAGACAATTAAAGAGAAAAGTTTTTGAATAGGTCTAACACTAGTATTCATATACAGATACTGAATAAAGTAATCAAATGGAAAATAACACTAGTATTTTAGTCCTGAATAAATTAAATACATAGGCTATTAATCCTGATTCCTTTAACTTAAAGCCATCTTTTGTTGTTTTGACAACAAAATTAATGACATACACATATGGCTGCCGTCAAGGGCTAGTGCATGGATCCTGTGTTCATTATACTGGCATGCGTTTTATGTTTATTAAAGACAAAACCGACTATATTTAGAGTAGGCTATAGCCAACTCACAAAGACCGAAATTGACAATTTTGCGTGTTAAAGCAATATAATCCGCGAAAAATAGTTACTAGCCAGCTGTTTTTGAGGCGGATTTTCTATGAATGTGCGCATAGAAAATAATCTCAGAGAGCGTGCGAGCACTGATTAGTTTAAAATCGCTTGAATGTTTAAACTGGTAAGACTTAAAAAGACTTCAGTCACGATGCACTGCTGGCCCGATTGTGCAAGTGAATATTCCGTCATGTCCCGACCTTACAGTCTATGGTCCCGACTCCAAAACGCGAGTGTGTATTATCGTTGCAGCGCTTGACGCCTGCCTTGCACAAAACATTATGAGAAGAGATAGAAGACGCGCGGCACCGCTGAACACTCACGCTGTTTGTGAAATTGCGTCTGGAAGATAGTTGTTAAAATAATGATTTGATTTTATTATCTGTGTGGATTACGATTGCGGGAATTTCCCGCATTATAAATGGGAGACCTGCGGGAATGATTAGAATTATGCGCAATACCCGCGCCGAAATTCGAGCCCTGGTTCTGGACAGGAAGGATAACTCTGGGAGTTGGAAGGGGTGTGATCGCGATTCTGCCTTCTCACATCGCGATACAGGATCGTGGACCTGAGTATCGCGATTTCGATTTTATATCGCGTATCGTTACAGCCCTAATCGGCACTGATAACCGATTGCTGGAACAATATCATGTTTGCATACCATTATAAAGTAATTAATTTGTTGACCAGATGCTAGATACTAGCATTACCTCTAGCGGGTAAAACAATGTGACAAAAACACACGCAAGTCCAACTCAAATGTTTAGTGTCATGATTGTTACCATCTGTTTGCATTAATTTATATCCAGCAGGTAACTTTTATGCATTCGTTATGCAGCAAAGTTGCATATTTAAAGCTAGTGACATGAGAAAGCAAACTGTTTCATCATGCAGCGGACAGAAACAAATATAAACAAATCAGAAATGCATTCTATTTCAGTTCAATTCGATTTCATGCAACTGATTTTCAGGTTTTTTATCATCACTGTAATACATATTTTATTTTGATTAGATTATCAAGTGTTCAAAAATAGAAGCAAATAAAGTGTAAGAATACACATAAAATATTAAGGCTGTAACGATACGCGATATAAAATCGAAATCGCGATACTCAGGTCCACGATCCTGTATCGCGATGTGAGAAGGCAGAATCGCGATCACACCCCTTCCAACTCCCAGAGTTATCCTTCCTGTCCAGAACCAGGGCTAGAATTTCGGCGCGGGTATTGCGCATAATTCTAATCATTCCCGCAGGTCTCCCATTTATAATGCGGGAAATTCCCGCAATCGTAATCCACACAGATAATAAAATCAAATCATTCTTTTGACAACTATCTTCCAGACGCAATTTCACAAACAGCGTGAGTGTTCAGCGGTGCCGCGCGTCTTCTATCTCTTCTCATAATGTGTTGTGCAAGGCAGGCATCAAGCGCTGCGGCGATAATACACACTCGCGTTTTGGAGTCGGGACCATAGACTGTAAGGTCGGGACATGACGGAATATTCACTTGCACAATCGGGCCAGCAGTGCATCGTGACTGAAGTCTTTTTAAGTCTTACCAGTTTAAACATTCAAGCGATTTTAAACTAATCAGTGCTCGCTGAGAGATTATTTTCTATGCGCACATTCATAGAAAATCCGCCTCAAAAACAGCTGGCTAGTAACTATTTTTCGCGGATTATATTGCTTTAACACGCAAAATTGTCAATTTCGGTCTTTGTGAGTAGGCTATACTCTAAATATAGTCGGTTTTGTCTTTAATAAGCATAAAACGCATGCCAGTATAATGAACACAGTGCACTAGCTCTTAAAGTGACGGAAGCCATATGTGTCTGTCATTAATTTTGTTGTCAAAACAACAAAAGATGGCTTTAAGTTAAAGGAATCAGGATTAATAGCCTATGTATTTAATTTATTCAGGACTAAAATACTACCCAGTGTTATTTTCCATTTGATTACTTTATTCAGTATCTGTATATGAATACTAGTGTTAGACCTATTCAAAAACTTTTCTCTTTAATTGTCTTTATTTGTATCTTTATTCTATTGTATTTATTTGTGCTACTTTTTTCAATTTAATTAAACAATTTAAATCAAGCTTCCTTGTGATGTGTAAATTCTTAACAACAATATTACCCCCTTGTAAAAATGCAATGAGCGCAAACATTTAGGCAAGATAAATGTAATAATTTTGTTTGGAAAAAATACCCCCCCCATTATACATTATAAAATACGTAGACCTACACCACAAAACTAGTTGAGGATCAATTATTTAAAATTTGGCAATTTCAGCATTATGGACGTGAAATTTGCAGCCAAAACTTGAAATATAAATTCTCAGAAAGTGCATTAAATTAATCCTCAATTGACCGGCAACACGTCCAACATGCAGATGCATATCCTACGGCACCATCCCGAAATCAATTTAGTTGGAGTACAGAACACAACCCAAAAGCAGCAGCCTACACTGCCTAGTATAGTTTAATAATTTGCATATTTATTATTGTTCTTTGGTGTTTAGATTATACAGGTTTTTCCTTAAATTTAATAAAAATAACGTTTTTTTTTTTTCTTCTCTCAAAATCTCTTTTTTCCACCACAAGCCCCGCCCCCTCAAGCCCCGCCCCCGTGATAGAATCGCGATACGAATCGAATCGTGGGTCAAAAATCGTGATACGAATCGAATCGTGGGTTTGGTGTATCGTTACAGCCCTATAAAATATACATGTCTAATTTCAATGCCATGGCCTTTGTGTAGATATTTAAAAATGGCCATCTTTAAGCATGACTGCTTGGATTTATATGAAATGGTAACACTTTACAATAAGAGTCCATCTGTAACATTAAGGTTAATAAAAGTATTGTTCATTGTTCATTTCATCATTTATACATTTTTACATTTAAAGTTGTTTCTCTTAACATTAGTTAAGGCACTATAAACTAACAGGAATGACCAAGGGATAATAATTATTTATATATATACTGTATATATATATACTGTATATATATATATATATATATTTCAAAAGAACAGTACATTTTCATGGGTGTTTTTCAATTCTTCAGCACTATTTTATGTGTTATGTTTGTTTTCATTCAGTATCCATTTAAAAAAAAATATCAGTGGATTAATCATTTATCGGCCAGCGTCAACCTCTAATTCATATACTTCTTTACTATAGTGAATATGTTTTCAATTTCTGAATTAAAATGATTATTTTTTTTAAATATTAACTGTGTTGATATTATGAATACAATTCTTAGTAGTTTTGCTTATTTTATTTTTTATTTATTAGAAAAAATAAGCAGTGAAGCAGTTTTGTTAAAATATTAATATTTGGAAAATTTGAGTTGCACTTTATTTTAAGGTGTCCTTTTTACATAGTACTTATATCAGTACTTATACTATAATTATTACAGAGTAATATTAATTAACAACATACTATAGGGTTAAGGTTAGGATTATGGTTGTTTGTGGTTAGTTGGATGTAATTATGCATAATTTACGGTTCTTATTACATGTAAGATGTGTAAAAATGACACTGTAGAATAAAGTATTACCAACTTTTGTTTTCCAAATCAGTTAAAGTTAAGATTTAAAGGTTAAATGTAAAATGTCATGTGGAATGACCCAAAAAACGAATATATATATGAATAATTAATTAAATTAAATAAAACGTAAAAAAAAAGAAAGAAAATAAATTAAGCGGTGTATATATAAATTAAAAGCTATTTGGAAAATGTCATTACTTTTTCATTTTAGCCTTGTTGCCTTCGTTGAGTTTTCAAAACAATATAAACCCAACATTAATTCAAAGATTAATATTTATATTTTGTCCAAATTTTGAGTGCACCACTATCTGCCAACAACTTGTTTTTGTGTTGTTGGCCATTGTGTTGTTGGCCTAAAAATACCCCAAAAAACATTAATTTTGTGGAGGAGTCCTGTAAGAGTTCTTGTTCATTTGAGGGAGCCTAAAC